TATTCTCTAGTATAAAGGTGGTAGACCAGCTCTGAGCAGTCCAGTGGTACAGTGATACGGCACTATTCTCTAGTATAAAGGTGGTAGACTAGCTCTGAGCAGTCCAGTGGTACAGTGCTAGCAGCTCCAGAAGAAGATGGGTTCTGTGCAGTGCAGTTCACAGAGACAGTGCTGTAGAGCTCTGCGGTCCCTTGCAGTCAGACAGCGATCACCAGTATCCGGTACTTAAATCTCAGAGTGTTTGTGACTGAACAAGAGTGCAGCGCCCCCCAGTGGACATTTCACTACTTGCAAGTCTTTTTGTCCCTAACCTCTCCCTCTGCCTCTAACCCCCTCTCTCTGCCTCTACACTCTCCCCTCTCTCCCCTATCGCCTGTCTCTGTGGATCTAGTGTGAGAGGCAGGACTCTTATTTGTTTGCTCAGCCAGGTGTGTCTCAGTCCACAGTTAAGAACCAAAGCCTTTTCAGAAGCTCCATGTGGTTGGAAATGAAAACTTATAGAACCGTTTAGCACCAGCTATCAAACAGACGGACACACTTAACAGAAAGCCGTTTTATACATGCAAACAACACCTACACCCACAGCATGGTGGACAGGTCTACAGATTATTGCAAATTACAGCTCTGAAGCTACTCATAGCACCATTTCCTTCTACAGAATTTCATAAAGATAACAGTAAATATTATTTATTTTAATATTCTTAGTGCTGGTAGTCCTCTGTAACAGACCGACAGCTCTAGACTGGACTATAGGTTCAGCAGAGCCAGTGATTTAGTGATGCAGATGTACTGGCCAAATGGCAGCACTAGGAGTTGTGATCTAATATTGCGATAGGAGGGCAATACGACTACTGTACTGTAGTTGAGGGATACTATTGACAGCAGTAGTTCTGGTAATATTTGACAGTTCCACCCTGTCAGATCTTGGACACGAGGCTGGACTGAGCCTGGTCAGTACTGGCAAGGTAGGGAGACCTGCAAGAGACAGCAGGTGATCATTGGAAGTGGTGCTGGTGGACCAGTAAGTGGCGCACTTTCCTCTGGAGCACACTTTCCAGTCCATTGGCTCTGTATGTTGACCTGGGACACTGATCTGTAGGGGGAGATGTAATTCAGATGAGATGTTAAACCGAAGTCCTCAGTCTTCAAAGATCTGGCTAAACGCCACTAACAGTTTGTACAATCCCACCTTCCTAAAGTCTCCCTTAATTCGGCTTCTGAAGCAGTTCCTCTCTCCTCCCCTGATCTGTGTGTCATGGGGCTGCAGGAGGACTGAACCCCACTCTGGTCTTGTACAGTTTCTCTCTCCTCCCCTGATCTGTGTGTCGTGGAGCTGTAGGAGGACTGAACCCCACTCTGGTCTTGTACAGTTTCTCTCTCCTCCCCTGACCTGTGTGTCGTGGGGCTGCAGGTGCAGAACAGTGTCACCCAGGTGGTTTTGCACTTCAGTGGGGATGAAGTGGGTCCCCTTCTGTGTGTGAAGCTCTTTGGGATGAAAGCAAGGGCAGGACAGGAGCACAGAGAGCCACAGAGGAGAGCCCCACACGCACACGTACCGCTCTTGACTCAGTCTGGTTTCGGGGAGACGGCCGCCAATCGCTCCTGTCACCCGGGGTGTAGTACCGCTCAGCGGCCTGTAGGCGCCTCTGCAGCTGCAGCGCGGCCCGTCGTGACCCGCTGGGCTCCTCTCTTTCCCAGAAGTTCGCTCGTCTGCAGCGGCCTGACCTCCGTGAACCGGCGGTTTCCTCTTCTTTTTTATTTCTTCATGGCGGTCCGGGGAGAAGAGGACTGGCGATTGCATTCACACTGTCCCGTCCGCACCGACTCCCTGAGACACCATCCCAGCCCACGGCGGCCTTCAGCGGGTAAGCGCGGCGCCGAGCTCGCCGGGATCCGCCCGCGGGGGCACGGGGCGCCCGGGCCGGGAGCAGGGCTGCTGGAGAGGGCGCACCGGGACTCCAGAGCTCCGCCATTCGGGCTGTAAATTTTAGGAAAAGAGAGGAGGGGAGGGAGAGAGACTTTGTGTGCGCCACTACGAAAGCGAAACGGGCCGCCTTCCCCAGTAACTGTCTCGCACACACGCGTGGATGTGTCGCTACTTTCCTGGCCCGCGGAGTTCGGGACTTTTCTGGGGAGGCTCGTTCCCGCAGCTCGTGCCCTGCGGTGAATATTCGGGAACATTTGGGGGGGCAGAAGGACGGGGGGGGGCGAGGGGTTGGTGACGGCGGTGGCGGCCGAGGCGGCGGGTCACTTTTTTTTTTCTTTGTTTAAAAAAAAAGAAGGAAATGTTTTGGGACACCGCGGGGGGTGGAGCGGGGCGGAGCGGGGCGGCTGGAAAGTTCCGGGCCGGTTTCCGAAGCGCGGGAGGCGGGCGGGATGGCGGACGGGCGGACTCGGGTCGGCTGCCCAGGCTGAGGCGCAGTCGGGTCCGTCTTCTCCCCCCGTGGCGGCGGTGACGTGCGGGGGTCGGCGGCAACTGTCACTTCTCGCCCTGCGGGGCGCGGAAACGGGGTTTGCAGGCGCTAGCTTGTTTCCAGCCCAGTGTAACCGGAGCAGCCGACATCCCGGCGACACCCGCCCTCCCGGTGTCCGGCCGGGGCTCCGGGCTGCGCGCCTCTCGCCCTCGGCAGGAATGGCGGCCACGTGACGGCAGGTCGTGGACGGCGTGGGAGTGCGGGCACGACACGGCGAGAGTTTCCTCACGGGGGTTCAAGTTCGCGACGCGGGTCCCCGGATGGCGCGGTGCTTGTTCCCCCACTCCACGCACGAAGCGGTTTGCGCTCGGCCGAGTGGGAGTCCCTGCCGATCAGGCGCTCGTTCTTGGTGAGCCGAGAGGCTTGTGTGGTGGTTCAGAGCGCCGGCTGGCGTGAACACTTCTGGGGTCTCGGTCTTGAGTGTAACGTGTCTGTTGGTTCAAACCGCGAAGTGCACAGCGGCGCTTATCTTCCTGAAGGAAAATCCCAACCTGTGTGGGACTGGGAAATGAGGGTGATTTATTTTTTGGGGGGAGTGGGACTATCGGGGCGCAGGCAGAGCTTGTTTTAAGGGAACAGGGTGTTCTAGGAGCAGAAGGGACTGGGCACCCCGAAGCAAGACACTGGGCTGGATGGAGTGGCCCTCATCTGGAAGGCTTTCACTGCGGGGGGGTGGGGTGGCGATCTCTCTCCCAGCGGACAGCCTCAGCGCAGCGTTGAGGGTTAATTGCTTAATTGACCCGAGCGAGCTCAGTTCGGTTCGGATGGCAGTGACGTTTTTGACCTTCCCCAGCTTGTCCACGCTGCGCGTCAGACAGTGTGTCAGCTCGAAACCCCCCGCCCCGCCCCCCAGGAGATCACAGTTTCTGTGTGGATGTGTGTGTGTGTGTGCGCGCGCCTGCCAGCGTGTTTTGGGCAAGATCGCTGCAGGTGTTTCCTTCAGATGGTTTCCCATGATAAGCCGTCTGCGCTTCCGAGCCGAGACGGCGTCTCGGGTCGCAGTGTTCCCCGCCTCCTTCGCGGCACAGCGGGAGAGCCCGTTGGTGACCAGCGGGCGAGCAGCCCCCGACGCCAGGCGTGCCCCAGCACAGCTCTCTTCCGCGGTGCTCCCCTGACGGCCCGCCTCTCTCCCTCTCTCTCTGCTTCTCCAGCAGGTACCTTGACCGTCGGCGGCGGGATGGACTAACCGCGGACACCCCACAGCGAGAGAGAGAGAGAGCGCGCGCGAGAGAGAGACAGAGCGAATTCCCCCGAGCGGTGAGTGTCGGATCGCCTGCCTCCTGCCTCCGCCACGGCGTCGGGCCGCGGCCAGGCGCCCCCCTCGCGCCTCGGGAGCTCTGGGCCTGCCCGCCGCTGCACGTGAGCTCGCGATCGCTTCCTGCAAGCCCCCTGATCGCGTGCCCGCCGGGGAGGGCGCCCGTGTGCAAGGGGCAGAAAGCTCAACATTGGTGCATCTCGGGGCCTCTTTTGTTCATTTGGCTGAAATGCTCTGTGCAGGGGAACGGTTCTGCAGCCATTTTCACAGCCAGGTGTTCTACTGGAGCAGTCTTGGGACTCCCCTTAATCCACTCCCTCTCCCTGGTATCCACCTCTCTCGCCTCCCGACGGAGGCAGAGCAGGGGCCTGTGGGACTGCTCTGTCCTATCCCCCGCTCGATAACTGCAGGGAAGAGGCACGACGGCTTCACGTCAAACAGTGTTCTCCAAAACACAGACTCGGGGGGTTTGAGAGGGAGGGGTCGCCGCAAGAGGCACCTTTAAAAATGATGTTTTTAAGGACCTAGTTATCCTGATGAGCTCTGGCTGGAGTAACGAGGTGCCCCGGTCGATCCGGACGAGCGCGGTTGTTCCACTGGAGCAGCTTGGAGATCCCCCTGGCCTGTTTCTTGCTCTCCCTGGGCCCCGGGGCTCCCGCACAGCGACCCAGCTCTGCGCGGGTGTGCCGGCGTCCAGCAGCGGGTCATGTCTGCAGTTATCGGAGATCCCAGTGGTGGCACCAGCGATCCAGGACCTCCTCCAGACAAAGTGCAGAGCCTCCTAGCGGACGTCTCACAGATCTGCAAATTCACTCTCTCTCTGCTCTCTGCCTCTTCCCTCTGCTCTC